AGATCTGCGCCAGCTTCATGTCTCCATGTTCCTTGGCTAGCCTAGCCGTGTTCCCATGTGAGATGAAAGTTGCCCTCTCTTGGAATGAAGTGTAGATGAAACCAAGGTAGGGATTGTTTTCTGTTTTTGGATCCTACAGAGTTAGGCAGGAAAGAAAAGGTCAATTTTTAGAAACTCCAAAGGGAAAGTATTCTAGTCACAAGCACTGGAAAACCACATAAATTAGAAGTCAAAATACATGATCATCTAAGCCAAGCCACCACATGGAGTGAAAAGAATTAGACTCCCTACTACGTTACATGTAACTTCGCACAAACTTCTAGCAGTTGCTTTCTTGTACTTGCAATCAGTCGTGTTACCTGTCTGCTTTTAATTGGATACAGTCTGCTTTCAATGAGATACAGTCGGAACCATAAACTCCCACATGACATCAAAAAGGAACTAAATGTTTCCTAAGCCAACTACTAGGTACGTTGTTGGTCGACAATAAACATGATTCTAATGCTGCCAAATACAACACATGGCAAGTTCCGAACATGCCATGGCAACACTTAGCAAGAGTCACAACTTTCTACAGAAAAAAACCAATTGACAGATAACGCTAGTCCAGGGGAACCTCAATTCAAAATAGGGCAGAAGATAAAGGTTACCATGGTTTCAGATTTAAGGTTATGCCTGGAACTAAGGGTCTTACCACAGAAACAATGTAATCAGAACAAACTCTAGCAATCATCTATCAGCACAGTAAAGTTTTCCCACTCATATAGCTGGAAAGATACCTATGGAACAAACTTATAGTAAGCAAAGGGAATGAGAAACAAGCAGTACATGTAATCACATACCATTCCTGACCCAATCAGATACTGAATTGTCTTCTCAATCTGCTTCATGTCGACTCTTCCGGAAAGGTAGAGATACTTGTTGAGGAGGTCACCGTGCCGGTTCTCCTCAGCAGTCCATGCCCGAGTCCAGATCGCCCAAGAAGTAAGGCTTGCCCCAGTCTCATCTCTCACGCCATCAAGGGTGTTAAGCATTGTCTGGTAAGTTGGTAGGGCTTCTTCAGTGATCATATCTCCAACCAGCACAACAAAATAGTCATCAGGGAGTTCCTTGGCTCTTTCCCTTAGTTCCTTAACTTGGTCATAAAATCCCTCTGACTCGGGTTCTGGCAGGAAATCTTGTGGCTGCCAGCATTTCTCAACGGGCTTTAGGTGCACCAAGAGATTGTCCTCAGCCCAGCCTTCCAATGACTTGAAGATCTCCAGCTTTTGTGGGGGCATGGAGTGCGTGACTTGGACATGCACCTCTTTGGGAGGTCCATACGGCTTCTTTAGTTTCTCAGCCTCCCTGGCCAATCAAAGACAACACGAAGTTACAACCTTGAATTGAGCAGTTCAACAACTATAAGAAAAATCAACCTCTGGTGGCGAAATTAACTACACTAGAACATCAAAACCCATCAAGCATAAACATCATCAGGACAAAAAGATGTGAAAAATAACTTGACATCGACGCATATAGATGATCTGAAAATTCCTGGCCAAGTAAGGCAAAGGAACACAAACCACCGCATGGGCTACTATATAATCCATATGTTATTCGATTCTAAAACACTAGTTAAACTGAGCAATCATAGTTCCAAACAATAAAGTTGGACCGCATTTGCGGTGAAGGTGCGTACACACGAGATAAGGAAGAAACTAGCGAGGAAATTTAGTATTCCCCGAGAGAAGGAGATGATAATAAATATGCCGTCGAATTTGTTGCAACTTAAGACACGATGGGTGCTGCAGGAGTCTGGATGGAGCATCGTTAATTCCTAGATGAAACGTTTAAGACTTAAAAAGTCAAGAAAAAACAGCTGGGCATTATTTCCTGCCAAAGCAGGTAGATGAGAGAAGACGACAAAGATGATAGATAAGAAACACCCACAAGAAAGCAATACACAGAGCCAGTCGTCAACCAACTGGACCAGCCGACCCAGGCAGCAAAGTTAACCCACCACCATCCCCTCCACAACTCTCAACCACAAGAGTTGCATTGCATATCGAAAACCCCGCAAAACAAAACAAATACTGACAATGCTTAGATGATAATGGGCTGCATGCCACACATAACCGAGGCATCTTGCAGATCTTCTCACAGGAACGAGAGGGAATAGAAAAGGAAACCCCAATCATGAAGCATAGAAGCAGAGACAGACCATTCATTCCTCAGTCGTTCGTGGTTTAAAATAAGCAGGAAAAAAACAAGGCATGGGAGTGGGGGAGAGGGAAGAAGAAAACAAAAGAACGCAGCACAGAACGAGCTATGGCGACGCCGAATTGATAAAATAACGAGTACCCACATGCATTTTAAATGGAAGGAGAAGAGGAAAACAGTGGGATGACTTCCGCACCACGGAAATGAATCCATCGGTGTTCAAATTCCAGACCCAATTGGAAACGAACGACAAAAAAGACAAAAACAAATTCAATCGGAACATAGAACAAAAGCTGAGTCGCAAATCGATCAAAACCACAGCAAAGGGAGAAATGAAATTAGACGAACAGAAAAAGAAAAGAAAAAGAAAAGACATAAACGTTTCGATTGCAGGAAAATCAGTTAATCACTGCGATAAATTTTGCGGAGAATCCAGAGCAATCGCGGGGAGGAAGGGAGAGGAAATCTTACTTGATGGAAGTGGAGGCCACGAGAAGGGTGCGAGGAGATCTGGGATGGCGGGAGGGAGAGAAGTTGATGTTGAGGGAGCGGGTGGAAGGGAAGGTGACTGGATTGAGCTTGAGAGCCATTGTTGAAGAGCTGCCGGAGCAAGTTGACTGGTTCGCGGCTGAATTTGTTGGAGTAATGCGGTTTTGGATTGCGGATTTTTTGCCGGAAAGGTGAGGCGGAGGCGTTCTCCTACTACAAACCCAAGAGGCGCACACAACTCTGTAGTATCTCACAGAGAAGGAGGAGAGGCTTTGGCTTTAAATGGAGAGGGAGGGTGGCAAACTGGGGGCGGAGAGCGGAGGGGGAAAAGACACGGCAACGGGCTCACAGATTTCCATTGAAAAAGCTTCGCTCAGCCTGCGGAAACGCACACGTGTATACCCTGCATTTACTATTTTGCCACCCCGCCCCACGAACTAACCGAGGCAAAAAAAAAAAAAAAAAAACATATCGCACACACTGTGGCCAAGTCCGCCGGCAGAGGATAGTGTGAGTGAGAGTGGTAATATGTGTGGATTCGGTGCAAAAATCGGATTGAATCAAGATCGAATCAAACCAAAAATGAAAATTAGAACTGAATCAAATATATGTTTGATTTCATGTTTAGAATAATTCATAGGAACAACATCGAATCAAAGTACATTTGATCCAGTCTAATTCAAATATCAATCTGGTATGCTTTGGATCGACGTGGATCAGATCATTGCCTATTCCAAATTGTGAGTGTGACAATACCCGTCATGTTGTTAAACCGTATGTAGTCGGGGAGGGGGGGTAATATAGGGCAGAAAGAGTTCTTTGATTATGGAGACATAAGATGGAAATGGAGGAAAGAGTCAACAACGGTGTTGGCCGAAATCAATTGAGTGTTGATTTTTTCACTACTGAGATAGTTCGGTCATTATTTTTAATAGCTAGTAATAACTAATTATAATGAACATTCGGATGTATTTTTCATTCTTACTCAAATTTATGTTACTAATTTATTCATAATAATAATGAAAGTAGATCATAACTCAACGATAAATTGAAAATACTGGTCCACCACCTACTAGAAGATGTTGGTTTCCTTTGTAACCCAGTATCAACTGAGAAAATTAAGAAGGTAGTATTTGGAAGCCTAGGGGAAAAGCCCATGGGCCAGATGGTTTCTCCTCTGAATTCTTCGAGTATAATTGGCTAGTGGTTGGAAGTTTAGTTATTCAAGTTGTTCACGATTTTTTCTTGTCAGGTGGGCCGCTTAGAGAAGTCAATAATACTATTATAGCCCTCATTCTCAAGGTCCCTAATGCTAATACCATGAGGCATTATAAACATATACCATGCTGTAACTTTTTCTATAAGTGTATTTCTAAGGTCTGAGGAGGCAGGTTTAGAGGTGTACTTCCTTCAGTCATTAGTCATAATCAATATGCCTTTATTATGGTTCATTTTTTCATATTTAAATAATTAATAGGATCAAAACCTAATCAAAGTATATTCGAACCAATTCGTTTCAAATATCAATCTAGTACGATTTGGTTCAGGGTGAACCAGGTTGTTGGCTATCCCTAATTATGAGTGTGAAAACACCCATCATGTTGTTAAACCATCTTAGTAGGAAGGGGGTTGTAATCTAGGGCAAAAAATAGTTTTTTTTTTATTATTATGGAGGCATAACATGGAAATTAAGGAAAGGGTAAAAACAGTTTTGGACGAAATCAATTGATTGTTGATTTTTCACTTTACTTACATGATTTTGTCATTATTTTTAGATAGCTAGTAATAACTAATTATAACGAACATGTGAGACTATTCTCGGTCTCCATCACCTTGGATTTTGGTGACAGCTATCCACTCCTGCTCCTTGATCTCCTGCTATCCATTGATAGCCTTCTGATGGTGTGATTTAAGGATTTTTGAGCAAATAGAAAGTGTAAACTCGACTCCCTTGAAAATTTATCCTCCTCGATCATGATCGTCGGCTCCCTCCTTGTAAGTCTTGTAGATCATCGCGGTGCTACAAACTCTGGCTCTGCTCTAGGAAAACTAGGATGCCTCAGGCCTCCCGATGTGAAGAAGTGTCATTGTCTCCTTTCTTTCTAACTACGAGAAAGAACCTGTCATTGTCCTGCTCAAAAGAAACCAAATTATGATAAATCATAAGCGATAAATCCACACTTTAAGGGTGTGGTTTCTTTATAATCTAATCATATAACTTGTCGTGTACATATTAACAAGATATTAATCCATAAAATTCATCTATCATTTAAACTTGTATAAAAATAGGAGATATTCTACTTAAAAATGTAGAAGTAGTATGAAACACATATTTTGAAATCTTTGAAAGCTCCAAGTTATAAGGTTAACCAAAGATCGATCAATTGACACAAGCAAAATGACATGCATTCAATCTAACTTCGTAGTGAAATTGAAACTAATAATTTCCTACTCTCATTGTAATTTCGGAACTTAAATACATATACCAAAAAATTTGAAATATAGCAGAGCTTTGACATTTAAAGCTCAATTTGAAAATGTGCTATGCTAGAATTTTGAAAATTTTGGCATCGCCTTTGCTGGAATTCATCAATCCATCCAATCATACATACGTTAAAAACCATAATAAGGACAATGCATCTCATTTCTAACTATACAACCACCATTCATCCATAAAAATCGATTGTGCCTAGCATAGACCGAAAATAGCAAAAAATTCTCCTACCAATATCATGCAATTTTAAACTTTGAAATCCTCGATCGAAGTCCTAAATTCATGGTTCAAGCTCCTAAATTCATTTGAAGATCATGGGTACTTGGATTGAAGAAAATTGTGGAAAAATCAGAGAAAAATCAAAGACCGAAGAGGGACAACGGCGACGGTGTTGCGGCAGGTATATCTGTCGGGGATTCTCTGATGGTTTTTTATTTATTTTCATTTAATGATATTTATTTAGTAGGTGGTGGGTATGTTGTATCCCGAATGTGAGGACAAAATTTTGAGTTTTGGAGATGAAATTGGTGATTTAAAGTTGAAGTATTTGGGAGGAATTTGAATTCTAGAGAGAAGGGAAAGGATTTTCGAATAAGATGGAGAGGGGAAAGTGAAAATATGGGCTGAGTGGGGTGGGATGGTATGGCAAAAAATGGTCATTTATAGGGGTAGGAGTAGCAAAGTTGGTGGCCGATGTGGCTGCCTCTCGCGTTCTACTTTTGCATTCCAACATTTTTGGGTTAGAACACTTATCTCGATGGTACAAAAGTTGGTTTCGTACTATTTTCATGTCTTATAATCCTCCATTCTCGTTATAAGATTGAATTTTTCTCCAAATGTAACACTACCCAAAGGATACAATGTTTCCCTCCAATGAGTAACTCAAAATTTCAAGCCAAAAGCAAACTATGAAATTAAAAATAATCCAGGAAAGAAAATTTTGGGTTGTCTCCGCAGAAGCACTTTTATTTAAAGTCATTAATTTTGATGCCAGACATGGATTGCCTCCCTTGGAGTGCTCTCTCTTTGTTGGGCTCGGTTGTTTGGCTCACAATCAACTCCCCCTCTGAATTTTGGCATGATTTGTTGGTGATGGGTTGGGCCGCCAGTGGATCGCCGATCCCCTTTATCTTCTTCAAATGGGCTGATTTTTGGTGGATAGCTTCATCTTGGGTTTAGTGGGTTGCTCCTCAAATTTCAGCTCGTTTGGACTTAATTTGATCCGTCTGCACTTCAAAATATTATTCTCTTGTCCATAAAATGAGCATTCGGTGTCAGAATCCATCATTCTTTGATCCCATGAGCTTGTTTTTCATCTTGATATGAACTCAATTCCATCATTGTACAAGCTCCAATTGATCGCTCAAAGATCGGATCCAGTTGATAAGAAACAAGCTGTAAAATGTCCAAGTGTTGGAACAGTTCTGGGAAGCATACTTTGGAGGTTGGTTATCTCAAATGGCTAAGTGAAAATGCAAGTTTGAGGGTTTGTTTGAAGATTGGATGCTCCTATACAACTCGGTTCATTTGGATTGTCGAGGGGATGCCAGGAAGGTCGTTTTTCAAAGCAATCAAAAACCTATCCTGCAACCTGAAATCTGCTAGAATTTGGCTAAGGCAGAAACAGAGTTTTTGGGACCAACTTTGGGGACTATTCGTGGAGTTTGGTATGCAACCAATTGGTGATTTGAGTTGGATATAAAACTATGAAACTTTCTAAGCCTAGGAAAGGAATTGGCTTCCTTCAAATGAACCCAAAAGACCATGTTCCAGAAGCATGAAGTTAGTACGAAGATTGCTTTTTTAGACAGATTGCTTGGCCGAGGAGGATGATGCTTGGAGCGCAAGTTACCGAGTTTTAGTTTGTTTTTCTTTCCTTATTTAGTTCTAATTCGTGTCATTGTTGATTTAGGATTGTAATTAGGATTATATGGCTATAAACAACATCACTTTGATTTGTAGAAAACACGTTTGAAGTTGATTGAATAAACCTTACTCCGAGGAGTTTCCCTTGAGCTCAAGTGCTTATGTTTGGTCTTGGATTATGATCCTAGACTTGCAGACCTCGAGATAAATTCTCTCATCATTGATCTCGTGGTGTTTCTCTACCCAAACCAGCCTCTTCCCCTACGAGTTGAAGTTGCTAGCTTGGCCTTTTTCGATCACCCAAATCCGCCTCTATTTTCGCCACAAAATCATCATCTTTCCAACCTAATCACCCTAGCTGCGCGATTCTGACCAGAGCCCCAACTAGGGATGGCAACAAAACCCGAACCCACGGGTATCCACCCGACCCAACCCGGTCAACGTGGGTAAAATCCGTGTTGACGGGTTTTGGACCGGGTTTGGGTTTAAACACGTTCACTATTCACCGGGTTGGGTTGAGTTTGGGTTTAGGTAAACCCGAACCATGGGTACCCGCCCACACCCATATAATTAATTTTCTTGGTATATTTAATATTCTAAACAACTAATCTTATTTATGTTTGTGGAGACATGTCTAATTTTTTCTTTATAATTTTGTAGAATGAAGTTGATGATATCGAGTGGAGAGTGAAGAAACTTAATTGAAAGAAAGAAGCTTTCAATTAATCATGTTATTTATGAATAATTTGTGCTTCAATTTTCTTGAGTTTTCTAGATTGGTGTTGAACAATTTGTATAGTTAATTTGTGATTTGCTTGAATTTTCTAGAGTAGTGTTTTAAATATGGATAATTTGTATTGAGAGATTGATATTTGACTTTAATTTTGATAGGAACTTGTTATTGTAAATTTTTTACGACAAAACCCGTGGGTACCCATGAACCCGCGGATACCCAGCGGGTTGGGTTGGGTTTGAGTTTTCAAACCCAGTGGGTTTTACCCCAGATTTTTTTCACGGATAAACCCATGGATTTGGGTTTGGGTTTGACAAAACCCGACCCAACCCGACCCATTGACATCCCTAGCCCCAACCTTGGGCTCATCACAACTTCCTTCTTATCCATATTGTCTTAAGTGCATTATATCCATGAAATAACATCAAGAGGCATAAAATAGTACAAAAACTCACTCACGGTCTATCATAAGCTCATATATCAAATAGTTAAGAATTTCATATGAATTCTAATAAAAATTACTAAAGATCCATTGATAGAAGGGAAAAATATATCGAATATTGGAGTGGCAAACATTATAAACTGAGCGTTGTCAACTGTGTTTGACTCGAGCAATATTGATTCCATGTGGTGTTAGATCAAGTGATAAAACGATGCTCACTAACCACTAACCCTGACAATGGCCATTATACTGCCAGGCTTGCAGTATAGCAGGTTGATCATATTCCTCAGGGATCGTCTATACCCTAGCCTACTCTTATTAAATATACTCTTATCTAATAGACAATTGGTTGTTTTTATTACTAAGGAATTGTTAACACTGAAACCAGAATAGATAGAATGATACTTGGGGTATCCTCACACTAACATCAGGTAGATATGAAATCAACAGGTAAAACATCTATGGTAACGTAGGTGCGGAGATCACTAAACTGGGAAGTGGGAACCAATGCAATGCTCAAGCCACCGATCCTCCTTATGACCATGTTCATCGGCCCAACGTTACTTCAACCGGTTTCAATGACTAGGGATAGCGGCCTATCTCCTCTAAACGGGTTCTACCCATCCGCACACTCGGTCCTCGAGTCGATGGTCATGCACTCGAGTCCCAAGCATTACCTAAGTGAGCTCCTAGTTGGCAAGGGATGGTCATCACGTCTACCAACTAAGACTCAATATCAACTAACTAAGCTAGGGGTAATCATTCACATAAAATCAAGAGCTAGCCTGATTTGACCTAGGCTAGATCATGACATACATGCATTCATGCACCCACACTCAGAAAGAGGCACATAAAAACTCTAGATAATCTCAAATTAACTATAAATTAATATTACCCTATCAATTACATATCATGCCCAAGTTAGGGTTTGGGGGACGAAGCTCCAAGTACCTTAGGAAACTACCTCGTGAAAGGAGGGAGGAAAGTCACAGAAAGAAAGGAAGAAAACATGAATGATGAGCTTCTTCTTGTGCATAGATATTCCTATTCAAACTCCTCTTTCTACTCTTCCTGTTCAAGGCAACTGCTTCTCTCTCTAACTCCTCACTCTAGGGTTTGTAAATCCAAAGGTTGTCTTAATGAGGGGAGCAACCCTCTATTTATAGAAGATTAACGACACTAAGAAGTTTGCGATTACCAATCAAAAGATCGTAGCTACAATCTCCTTCCTTGGGTCTTGACCTCGAAATGGCGACATGTTTGGCCGCTCGGGCGGAGAGATCATGGGACAAACTTCATGCTTGCGAACTAAAAGTCATAAGCGTGTCATTTTTCGCGGTCTCAAAGTTAAGGACTGCGAGATGGACCATGAGATCTTATGTAATCTTGCCACCAACTTCTCCAAGTTTGCAGCTCTAACGATAAGATCGCAGCCGTGAACTCATTTTGGCTTACATCTTCTAGGTCGTGAACTTTCACTTTTGGCCGTGATATTCTCTTTTCACTCTTTTTCACACTTTTCTACACTTGATCTTGGATTCTTTGATAAAACACTTCAAATCTGAAATGTTGCCTAAAAGTCTAGAGGTGCAAATCTGTTTGGTTTCGGTTAACCATTAAGCAAAAAATGCATATCGATGACACGTAGAATGAGTTATTCTAGACCCCTCGTATTACGACCAAAAGTGCATTCATTTCCTATCATTATCGTCATAATACCTTAAATTTGTGCTATGAATGCTTCAAGCATGCTTTAGCAACCCTAGGTTCCTTTTATATGATTGATACGCTTGTTCATTGAATTTTCAGGTCAAAGCAAACTAGTGGATCACTTGGTAACCCTAGGGGACTTCGAGATCTAGTTGTTGGAACCAAGATTCAAAAGAGAGGAAAACATATAGAAATGGTGCCCTAGGAAGTGAAAAGACGCTTCTGCCGCCGTTTTATGGAGCTCAACTAATTTTCCAGAAAGTCACCTTGGAGCCTCATGATTCGCTAACCATGTGATTAGAGACTTCTAATTGGCTGGATGACGCTAGAGCTACAAGATTCCATCCTTAGAAAGGTCTGTTACTCTGCCGACAGAGAACCCTCCTTTCTTAGAGCCACACCAACCTTCGAGGGGGAATCAGCACCCGAAATGGTGATTTTGGCCCTATTTTCTCTACTGGTGGCGTCGATCCCTGTGGGCTTTTGTAGTCTTCGTTTCAATCAATGAACACCCAAGAACCCCCTCCCCATGGTTGGCTGGTTCTTTAGTTGCATAGCTATGTGAACCCTAGATGCTTGGTTTAATACAATTGTTTTTTTTATATGTATTGATTTTTTCTTTAATGTATTTCATTATTTGTCAGTTCGAATGAGCTTAGTCGACTTTCACTCCTTCGAGGTGCAAGGATCAAAATCCAAGTTGCTTAGGATTATGTCTAAAAATGGCGGTCCTATTTGATCGATCGTCATTCGATCAAATGGCGTGACGCCTCAAGGGAGAAATCCAAAGGGTCCTTATTGCCCATTACTTCTGGTAAATGTTTTAACAAAAGGTTTGATCTAACGAAATATAAAATCGACATCTTGTATGCCACCGATCAATGAGGGATGCATGGCTAGGGGACCTAGAGGGAGCTTGGCTATGTAACACCTTCCTTATCCGATCTCGAACTTGTCCAGTAGCTTAGGTTTACGTTTCTGCACTGCATTCTTTGTTTAATCTTATGTTCTGCAAAATCGGAGGCACCTCCACCTCCTAAATCGCTCTATTCTTTAATAGAATCATACCTTGCTTCTGAAGTAAGGATTTTGAGAGATATCCTAGGTAAATACGAGCTTGGCCTTAGGGCCATGTAAATTTGACTCTATTCTATAACAGTTCACATACCGATAAATGAACCGATAAGACTTACGGTTAACTGCTTGTTACCGGTTCAATTTGACGATTAACCGCTAACAAATAACTACCTCCACATGACATCTTCTTTTGATATTTTGAAATTTTGTATGGTTTCTTTTTAATACTAAAATATAACCATACAAATAATTTGAAATAACTTAACTTAAAACAAATGAGATAATATTTATAAGAAATAATATCAAATCCAATACAACACCTATCGTGCATAAATAATCCAAATCCAAATTCAAACACATAGTATTACAAATAATCAGAAGTCTTCATCCAATTAGCGAGGTACCAACTGACATGACATCAAATACAAGCAACAAAATCATCATTATCCACAAACATCAAATAAACAAAGACTCCTAGGGTGCGAGTTTCTCTCTGACAACTGCAAAGGGGAGTTAGAGAGGGATGGCTTTCTGGTTCTAACTCTTAAACATATTTGAGACTTTGAAAGGAGACTTGTTTGCAAATTGGAATGTTTTGAATTGTTACTTTGTTGGTTACGAATCTTAAGACTTTTCCCCTTAGCTAAAGCCCAAAACTATGTCATTATACTAGTAGGCGGTTATTGATTTATTTATTTTTTTATCAGTTAACCACTAACTGATTAGTCGGTTATCAGTTAACCACTAAGAAATATACAGCTAACCGAAACCAAACCAATAAGAATTTATCTATTATTGGTTAACAACTTACGATCATTATCAGTTCGCTTACCTGTTAAAACTGATAACCGACTATATGTTTACTATCTCTATAGAAGACAACCAAAATGCAAGAGGAAGCATTTCTAGACTAAATTAAGAGTTAAATGCCTTATGAAAGCTTGAATTCTTGAGAAAACACGCAAGAAATTAGGGTAAGATAATACCATTTTAGGTATTATCAAATATCAGTCACCCCTTCTTTTCTAAGGAGTCAATTTCACATGTTGAAAACATAAGATATTGTTTTATCAGATGATCAAAAAGTTAATAATATCCCTCTCCTCCACACTGCCGCATGTGGCCGAAGATTCTATCGGTGTCGAGAAGACTGGTGTTGCAAAGTTGAAAGAGAATGATTCTCTCTACAAGAACTACACCCTCAATGGTATGGAGGATTATCTATATGACTATTACGCCTAGGGTTTACAAAAAAAAACACAATGATCGGGTATCCACCCGACCCGAACCAGTCAATGCGAGCAAACCCTGCATTGACAGGATTTAGGTCAGGGTATGACCTAACCCGAAAGTGTAGTTATCAGGTACAAGAAAGATATGAATATTCTATTATCTTGCCCAAACCCGTTTGGTAGCCCAATACCCAGTACCCAGGTACACCCTCAGTCCCTTGACTTCTCACTTCTTGAATCTCGTTATCACTTTCAACTCCCTTCTTGTCGTCCCCAAACTTCGTGTTTCTGAATTCTCATTCTCTATCATCCTTCGGTCTCTAGACTCATCATCTTCTTAAACCCAACAAATCAAAGTCCGCCAACCATTAAATAAATTCTTCTTCTCGAATGAAAACCTTTGTTAATTCTTTCATTATGATATACACTAATTCTCATCTATTTATTCTTTACAGTAAAATCAACTACATCCCGATAGTTGTAAATTAACAAATAGGGGTTTCAATCATTCAATGGATCCATAAATTGAATCGGCGAGAACTTAAGTGAAGAAGAATTGAAGCATAGTACATTTTCTTATCTTTTTAGTTTCTTTTCAACGTCTGCTAGGGAGCGGATAGTATAACAACAAGATTCATTAACGGTAAAAGGGTAAACTAACACAAAATAACAAATTAAAATTAAAATATTCAATCCCAGCCTTCCCCTCTCCGTCTCTCGATCTCTTCTCCTCTGATATCCCCATTGGCGCTTCTCTGCCGTACTCTCTCATCCATCACCAATAAGATCGTCGTCGGCACTTCTTTGTCGTACTCTTTCCTTCGTCATCGTCAAGATCACCGCTATTGAGAGAAGGGGAGATAATGGAGATTTTGGCGACAGAGCAAGATCTGAACTCTTAGATCGGAGCCGTGATGTCTCTGACGGCAGCAATTGTGGCAGCAAAATCTAAAATCTCAGATTGGAGCAGCGATGTCTCGTCAATTGAGGCCGTGAATTCCATCGTCCATTCAAGTTGTGGTGAGACCACAGCCGCCATGTACCATCGCTTGCATGCTCTGAAGCTACAAACAAAAGCCGCCGCAAAAGAGAAAGGTAGTAGGATGTACATATGATAATTAATGTTGTGGGATAATGACCGATTGTAGTAGAGCAAGTGAGAGGGGATGGTCCCGGTTCCGGCGAAGAGGAGCTTTTGTTGCTTTTGTTGGATACTCGTTGTTCATAACCACATAAAAAATCTCCTACCACAAACACAGTAAATCAAACCTTAAAAAGCATATCAGAAACCTGTTAATGCATACCATAACTCTCCTTAAACATACCAGAAACCCCATAAAGCATACCATCAACACGGTAAAGCAAACCACAAACACGGTAAAGCAAACCACAAGTCTTTCATAAGCACACCAGAAACCTCCTAATGCATACCACAAATCCCCTAAAACAAACCACAAACCTCACAAAGAAAACCACAACATTTGCGAAAGCACACCAGAAATCTCATAATGCAAACCACAAGCACAGTAAAACAAACCACAAAAACAAACCAAAAACTTCCTGATGCATATCTCAAATCTATTAAAACAAACTAGAAACCCCTCAAAGAAAACCACAAATAGTATATAAAAACACGAGAAACCAAACCATAATATCCGGTGGTCGTTGACCAAACTCCGATGACCGTCAGTGAGCAGATTCCGACGCCGATTGGCATATTCCGATCCCGATTACTAGATTCTGACGCCGGTAAGCATATTCCGTCCACGGTTATTGGATTCCGGCAAAGGCGAGCATATTTCGACGACAAAATAGCATATTCTGGTAACAAAAAACATATTCCGGTGACTGGCGGACAGATTCCAACAAACGGTGGCCGAATTCCGGTGAGTAAATTTTTGGCAGAAAATTTAAAAATATTTTTAAAAATATTTTTTATTTTTTTATTTTTTTATTAATATTTAAATATATTTTTCATAATGACAATTATACCCCTGCTTTGATTTTACACTAGGTAAACTCAGCTAATAAAAAGTCATCACAACCCTAGCTTCTTATTGGTTGGAGACTAGTGTTGTTACAATAACAACACAAGGAGTGTTGTCACACTATCTAGTCCCCGTCTGCTACTATGCCTAATTAGGATCTTGGATTTGTGTTAAGTTTTTTTATTTTTACAAGGAGGTAGGTGACTTGGATGGAATCGTAGAATGACCACGTATATAACATATTCATGAATATATACATACTCATAAGATATCCAGAGGTACGGGTGTGGTAAGAGATTTAGTATTTGTTTCATCATATGGTACCTACCTGATATCTGTCAGAAACTTAGATGGGCGGGTATTGGATAGCCACTATCCGGTCTGATCCGACCTATTGTCAACCCTAACTGCACAATTAAAATAACCCTACAAAGATGGTTTGGGATGCTCTCTAGAATTGGTACAACACTGAGGAGGTTGGAGCCTAAAAGTATGTTGTCAACCGATACATGCGCTACCAAATGATGGACGACAAGTGTGTCAAAATTTAGTCACATGAACTCCAAAATATTGCCCATGAGATTTTCAAAGAATGTATTTATCTTAATGATCAATTTCAAGTTTCTAGTATCATTGTTAAGTTGTCGTTTCGTGGAAGGATTTTAAGAATGTTATTACGAATAAAATCAAAGAATTTTCGTTGGGAAGTTTGATAACTCGCCTTAGGATAGATGATGAAGCTCGTAAACAAGATATGAAGGGAGATGTGCTGGTTGTTAAACATCTAGGGCTGTGAAACCTATCCATAAAATTTAGGATTAGAGACACAAGCCGAATCAGATTCACACCAATAAGAATGGTAACCCTCGTGGTAACCAAATAGTCGTGGTCCAATACTCTAAGAATGACACTATGTTTCTTTGCTATAATTGTAGAAAGCAAGGTCATAAAGTATTGGAACAACTCTAACATTGATCCTTGTGTTAACTTGATTGAAGATGAGGATTTGGTAGCTCAGATTAATGCGATGATATCATTGGTTAACCTTGCAGGTAAATATGAAGGAAAGTGGCTATATATTGGCGCCTCAAAGTACATGTGTAATATTCTTGTTATGTTCAAGACATATACTAAGGTGTATGCTGATAGGAAAGTATTGTTGGGTACTACCCGCACCACCATTGTGGCTGGATGTGGGACTGCGGAATTGAACTTTACTTATTGCAAGACTCTATCCCTCCTAGACATCTTGCACACACCAAAAATACGAAAGAATCTTGTTTCAACATACCTTCTCAACAAGGTTGGGTTTCATAAAGCATGTTTATTTGTATACCCATACTAAGATTGATAAATTTGAGGGAAAGGGTATGCATGTGATAGGATGTTTAACTTGAATTTTGAACTCAATAAGTCGAATTCTTATGTTTACATGTTGGGTGATTTCAATTTTAGAACACACGTCTTTGTCATGTGAACAAACATATTGTACATGTTTAGACCCTCAATCCTTGATCCTTTGGCTTGCATTTGTCATTCTCTAGCCCGTTTTACGCTAGGTTATGCTAGTTTTAGAATATTTCAGATCTAGCAGGTTAATATGGCAAGGAACAATTGTTGGACCATTGGAGGCAGAACCGGGACAAAAACAACAAGATGACAAATGACATGATTTAGAGCACGGATGTCATGGACCAAGACGTGACATTTAAAAAAGAAGTCGTGAGATTCAACAAAGTTCCAGGATCTTTTGCACATGTCACGGGCGCTGCGGAATTCACGGTTCCAAAACATGACATTTATAGAAGAAACTGTGACGTTCGACAGGCAATTGCACTTGTCACGACCGGCCAACACATGTCATGATTTTAACCCTGATATGGGCAACACAACAGTGACTTGTGCATATAATGCGGTGCGTTACTAGTCGACATCACGGTCATTGTCGATTGTCACAACCGTGACGAAAATAACTCATGCATTGTCTCGAGTATAAAGTTGCTGTTGCAATTTTTGAGAGGGGAAAGCTGGGTTTTCGGCCAAAAAACACCCAAGGGGTGTTCCAAGGAGAGGGATAACAATCTTGGAGGATTTTGGAGCTAAATTGGAGGTACCCATCACCATTGGAGCTAGAAGATCAAGCCCAGAGATGAAGATCGAAGATCTTGAATTTTGTACTGTATTCTCTCTCCTCTCTATGGAATAATCTCCTTTACTTAGGTATTGATGAACCCTATTCATGTTGAGCTTATACTCTATCTTGTTATTCTTAACTTCATATCCAATATTTACATATTTCGATATCCAATTCTTCCTTGATCAAGATTAAATGATTTTGCTATTGACTTATGAGAGATAAAATATAATCAGCTTAATTAGAGCACCATATATTGGAAGTAAGGGGTCGATAAGACGAGAGTGAGTTGGGGTTTTGCTTTGTTTTGTGTAGGAACCTCACCCAACAGAGGGTCTAGTTGCAAATGCCTAGATCAGTTGTTTTATAAAAGGTTACGACTCCCTAAACAACCGACTCAAGAGGGCATTGATTGCTCAAATAGAGATTCAAGGTCTAGTCAAGGATTGTCTGCATTATGATGAATAATGAATCAATTTAGAGGATCGCCAATTATTGATTCGGCTAGTGGCTAGGGGGAATCAATGCCAAAGTGTGCTCCCAACTTTTAATTAGTTAGTATAGTTGTTAGTGTAGTTTAGTTAGTTTCTTAATCTCAAATCTTGTGTGGCTAGATAACAAATCGAAGCAGAGTAATTGTACACCTAGAGACCCAAGGGTTCAAAAAAATTTATTACTCAACTTCCAATATACTACATCTGATCATTGGTTATACTTTGCTTACGATTGAGAGAGTAGTTTAGAGGGACTCAAGCTTTTGTCATCGTTGGCGGGGAATTTTAAGTTATTAGAAAGGTTTGGGTTTGTTAATTTAGACTTTTTTTACTTTATTTTCTTTCCACCTTTGCAGTTGAAGGTATTTTTATTTTTGTAGGTTAAATCATGGATTCCAATGGCTTCTCTAACACGTGGGGGTATCCATCAACACTCGAATGAGGTTACCTCGAAGCTAATGGGGCAACCGTGAAGGTGAAAGCCAATGATTCGGGTTTAATTTTCAACCTTCCCTCAATGAAGAACAACCATACTCGTTAGGATTTCAAGAAGATCCCTCATACCAAGAAGAATTTCTTCCACAACTCGAGGTGAAATCTGTGTTGAAGTTAGTTGTGGAGGCCTTCATAAGACATTCATTAAGACAATGTGACACTCTACAATCGAATACCAAGGGCTCATTGGAGATTGCCTGCCATGGAGAAATTTTGAATGAGCATTCTCCAATGTGGCTTTCTAACCCTCCCCCTCCCAATTTGAAGTTAGGAGAGAAAGTTAAGCCAACTTGTGCATGACCCTCTTAAAATTTGAAGAGGAAGAGGAGGTTGAAGATGCAATTAGTGAAGATCATCTGAGCATGATGAACTCAACCCAGAGAGCTTATGTGGTGAGGATGACCAAGCGTAGGTCTGCTAAACGGTTGCCAGTTAATCGGCTAACCGCAAAACCGAACCGAGAATTGCGGTTAGTCGGCCAACGGTTAACCGTTTAGAAGCTGCGATTGGCGGTTATGTCATTCTAGTGGTGCAGCTAACCGCGCGACTGTCGATTTAAAATGTGTCGGTCACCGCATAGTTGCTCCCCGACTCCTTTTCCCCTAATCCCCTTCCTTCCCTACCCCTCCTTGGCTCCATTGAACCTATAGTTCAGAAGAATCCTCGTCGCCCTGCCATCTTCCTTGGTGCCCCGCCATCTCCCTCGTCAGCGTTGCCATCCTAGTCCCTCTGCTCTCCTCAAAGCCTCGCAAACAAGCCCCCCATCCATCGCCAATGTGACTCGTCAATCTCAACCTCAATCCCCTCATGTCGTCATTGCCCTATTGTCCGCCATCTTTTGTCATTGGCCATTGGAAGTGTGAGAAGACTTATGATCTTCTTCCCTGCATCTTCCCTGCCTTCAACAGTGAGAAATCGTAGATTGCAAGTGAATCAAGAGTCGTTGCAACTACAATCAATCTAGAAATCCGACCAGATCCATCACACCGACCGCCTCCTCTATTTTCCTTCAATCCTTTGTCGCCGAGCCTCGATTCGCGACTGATGACTCGGTATTTGCACATGTTTTCCCCTTTGTTTCTTGATTTTTTGAGCTTGAATTATCGTGTCTTTGGCATATTTTATGCTAGGTTATGTTCCTTTGTCACATTTCAGGTCCTAGCACATAAAGTGAAGCATAGGCGCAAGTTTCAAATCAATCAGAGATCAATTGACGATTCGGGAGAAGAAACTCGGGCATGACCTGAAGAAGAATGGATTTATACCTTACTTTATGGACAAATAATCATGCAAGCTTTGTATGAAAAGAAAGAGGACGAGACTACGAGCGTCTGGGATCAAACGGGGACTGATTCGGAGTCCGGACGAGGGAGAAACGAAGCATTAAACAGAGGTTGAGCAAGCCACACGGGCACAACCCACACGGCCGTGTGACCTGGCCATGTGGCCGTGTGGAAATCAACGAGGGCGCACACGGGCAGCTGGGAAAGCCACACGGCCGTGTGGCCTGGCCGTGTGAGTCGGGAATTGCTGTTTAAAACCCGATTTTCAGCAAAAGGAAAGGGAGAGAGCTGGGTTTTGGATCCCAAACACCCAAGGGACGAACCCTAGAGAGAGAGAGCGACTTGGGAACGTTCTTGGAGCTATTTTGGAGGATTTCTTCGCCATTGAAGCTCGGGAATCAAGCTTGGAGATGGAGATTGAAGATCTAGATCAGATTTCTGCAGTCTCTCTCTTCTCTATGGAGTAACTTCCCTTCACTTAGGTTTTGAGGAACCTTAGTTCCATGAGTTAGGATCTTTCTTGTATGAAGTTTTGGATGCTATATTGTTTGATTATAATCGAATGATGCATATTTATTGAGTCAATTGAAGTCTGATCAACTTTTCCTGATTCCTGCTGCAATCTGAGATAGATAGAATCTGATTAGGTTGCTAGAGTCTCATCATTCGGTAGTAGGAGATTGGCTATACGAGAGTTAGCCAGTTTACTGCTTTGTACTGGAATCCAATTCCAGTAGTGGAGTTCTGTGCTTATTGCTTCAGCTTTCTATCCCGGTGAAGACTAGTCGTCTGCCGGATAGTTAGACTGAGAGGGTTTGGTCAGCTTAAGAGATTCCAAACTACTGTCGGATCTTCCGCAGTTTAATCAACAGTAAATCAACCAAAAGGAATTACAACTTGGACCTAATTGAGGAGCTAGGGGGAATCATACCTAAGTGAGTTCCCAAACTGTAATTAGTAGTTTTACTTAGTTTAGTTAGTAGAGTAGTTTGGTTAATCAATCCTTAATCTAGTTTGTTAGATAATGAACTGAAGCTGAGTAATAGTAACTCTAGAGACCCGTGGATTCGATATTTATTACTTGTGCCACTATACTGCAGTCTCTTTCATTGGTTACACTTGGCCATTGTTAGGTGTTGTGTTTTAGAGCATCAGCGACCAGGACAGAGAGAAGAATGGATGGAAATGGCGGTTTCGGATAACCAATCAACCGATCCGACCCAATCGATGTCGATGGCGGCTAACCAATGTCCCCGTCGGCGTGGGTGGTGGTTGGCAGTCGTGCACCAAATCGGTGGCGAATAACTGACAATTCGGTGCTGTGAAACCGAAACCGCACCGATTATCAGCCCTAACCAAGAGTGTCTCATTGACGACTTCCACACCTTTCCTCATCTTAAGATCAATTTTGAAGAACAAGTGACAGGGAGAAAGATCAAAATAACATTATCAACAACCTTACATGGTACTTGCCCTCCAATTTGTACTTGAAGACAAGGATGGGGAAGAGAGAGAAGGTTGAAGAGGAAGAAGTGAGCACCGAAGAGTAAGCTCTTGACTATAACCAAGAGGAAGAACAAATTTTTGATGAAAGAGAGAAACTCTTACATAGATCATTCCAATCATACCGATAGTATAAGTATCGATTTCATAAACCAATTGCGTATGTTAAATCGTTGTATTATTATGAATCACTATCATATAAATGCATGCATTGATACAATAGATGCATTTTGAAATTACATTGTTTGGTTGTTGAGATTATAATTTATGAATTGATTGTTATAAAGTTACTTTATAAGGAAATGACATATTTGTACTCTACTTTTAATATAAAACAAAAAGAACTATGGACATAATTGGAAAAAGTAAAAGTGCTCAATTATTAAACCAACAATCACAACAATCTCTCATTTTTGTTGATTGTTGGTGGGACCCACACAAAACAATACATGCATTGTTTTGCGACTTGACACTTCCAAACATTATATTGTGGACAATACATATATTTAACAAATACAACACTAACCATCGCAACTTCCGAACGACACCTAATTCAACCGGTCGAGATTCCAAAAACCGTATTTTCGGTTGAAATGACAAATAAATAACAAGAATAAAGCTTACACAAAAAATAACAAGAATAAAGCCAATCTCTTTCCCTTTCTGGCTTTTCTCTATTGCAATTCTTCAATTCATCAATTTTCTTTTTCGGCTGTTGATTCCAAGCTTGATCATCATCGCATCTACATTTCCCTTTCTTCTTCCAACCAATTCCTCCCTCTTTTTCTCCGTTTTCTTTCTGGATTCGCTCTCTCATTTCCCAAACCTCCATTAGAGAATTTCAGGAATCAACCGTCTTCTCACCCTCTCCCCTATCCTTCATTGTCTCTCCCTCTTTCTCCATTTGTGCCGGCTTAGATTTCATGGAATCTGAGGATGACTTTGATATGCAAGACGCGGCCGAATCCGCGGAAGACGATTTCTACAGCGGTGGAGACGATGGATTCGATACCGACGACGCTGATGATTACGAGTTTATCGACAATGATTCCGACGATTCCGATGACCTCGTCTCACATCGCCACCAGGTCTGCCGCCCTCGTTGGATGATTTTTCCTCAGTCCAACAATTTCAGCTCTCTCCCTTTATTTTCCATGCGCTTCTTCAGCATCATCCGTCTTTTGTCTGCCTAACTGTTCCCCTTCTGTTTCTATTCTCTTAGCAAAATTATACGGTTTTGAGCGAAGCCGATATTCATCGTCGTCAGGACGATGATGTGGCCAGAATATCTACGGTGCTCTCCATTTCGAAGGTTTCTGGCAGCATCCTCCTCCGTTACTATAACTGGTACGACTAACGGTGGGGAAAACCCGCTCCTGGAGCTGCGAAAAGTTTTCTACTTGGTTTTAGTAGTGTCCTTGATCATTTGAGCACT